ATCCTCCCCAGAGGTCAGGACCCCTACTGGTAGCCTCAGTGGTCCTGCCCAAGGGATGGGTGCTAACTTAGTGGCACACTGCAAGCGACAGAGCAACTCAACAACTAGATCTGTCTATTGTTAGTGACTAGTAATAAAAGACTAAGTTTATACTCATGGTCACAAAGTCTACAAATGACAGAAAACAGGACAGAATGCTTGACTCAGGTTATGCAAAATGGTAACATCGGAGGACTTTGGAGGAGTAGAAGGTGCCTCAGGTATGATGTTCCTACTGTACCTAATAGATGAAATCAATGAATTAAATCACCACGGACTAGTGTCGGTGATCTTGTTAGGCCTGTGCGCTACTCATGGTGCGAAGCAATATCCACGGATGTCAGTGGCAGACAAAGAGCACAGAATCAAGACATTGAAACCTGGATAAATCTAATCCAGCCTTGTCTTTCTGCAAACCAGGAAGTGTTTAATCACAGCAGTGTTGAATGTCATCACTGGAATTAGAACACAGCTTTCCAGGTTCCTAGTCTAAGATTCTCTGGCAGCTGAGATTGGAAAGGGGGAGAAAAGGGAGGGTCAATTAGAGGTACACTCTAACTGAAAGGAAAAGGAAATGATTAAAAAGAGAAAGAGAAAGAGAAAAGAGAGCAAATAAACTGTGTATTTGTAGGGCAGGTGGCTATCTACTTTTGATTGCCTTACTTGCCTTTTGGTAATAAACACTGCCCACATGTGAGCAGTGACAAGATTCTCTCCTTGACCAAACTCTACTCAGGATACTCTGAGCTCTTTGTCAAATAGGTCCACCCTTGAGCATGTCCCCAGTAGACTAATTTTAGCAAAAATCCTGATAAGTCTGTTTAGCCCAAGCCCCACACCCTTATATCTGAGCACCCTTAATATCTGACCAGGTAAGTCCTCATCCCCCGCCATCTCCCAGGTGGTGTCTGATCCCCCTGGCCCGCCTTCAGCAAGAATCCCATTAGGTCCGTTTAGCTAGAAACCTCCCTTACCCCTCTTAGTCCTTTTTCATCCATTGACCACCCCGCTCCTGCTCATTGGCTAAAATGCCCATTTTTCCTTGTTGTATCCCGTGTAGAGCCCAATTTCTCTCCCCTACTGCAAAACCTCACTGCAGGAGTCTCTATGCCTATCCTGATAGCCCTGAGTAAAGTCTGCCTTACTGTTTAATAGGGTTCATGAATCATTGTTCTCTTTCACAGAGGCTAAACTGGACCTATAGTGGTGTTCTAGTATTTTCTT